CCCTGCCAGGGCAGGGGGTCAGACTTGATCTGCTCAGGTCCTGTCCGACCCGACCAACTATGAAACCACGTGTCGCATCACATTGGTCAGCTGCTTCCGGTATGCCCACTTGTAAGAATCTCTACGACTAGCTTTCATTATGGGAATGACAAGAGTCACTAAGGTGGCCATGATAATATCAACACAAGCCTGCTGGAACGCAGCCTGGCACCCATGTCGTCGGAAAAGCACTGTGTCCAAAAGACCTCAGACGCCACCAGCCACCCAGCCAGGTGTTAATCAGGCTTTTCACTGACTGAGGAGAACCGTGACACCATGTGATGTAGATTCCAAAGCAGCACAAGATAAAAGGCTATGAACAGGAAAAACTGGAATGGTTTTGCTCAGAGCAAGGCTGTTTCCTGATCAAGAGGGAGAGATGGTGGTAGTGTTTCAGTAGTGGTAGTGGGTGCAGCTAGAGACATGCAAAGTATTCAGAGGACAAACATGCAGCTACAGTCTACATAAGCACGTCTCCTGCCCCCCTCACCTTTCAGCAGCGACTTACCTGGGACATCCTGGGGGGCACCGATTAAGCCAGCGTTCTTGATTGCTTCACAGTCCTGCTTCTCCTCTTTGCACTTCTCATCGCTTTTCTTCTCTTTTCTCTCTTTCTCTTTGTGCTTTTTGGATTTTTTCTTGCTTTTCACGTGCAAGGAGCTAGAGGGGAGCTTGCTGGTTTGGGCACAGTCTGTTGACAAAGGATTCGCCAGTCTGTCAGCTGCCTCGGGGTTCTCACAGTCTCTGCCGTTGTGACTCAGGTCATTGCTGACATCCGAAAGGGGGTCGTGAGGCCGCGGCAGCTCCAAAACCGGCAAGTGGGAGCTGGAGCCAGTGGAATCAGCTGCAGCTGATGGCACGGCTGGAGCAGGCGCCTCTTTCCCGTTGGAGGAGTTGAGTTTCCCATTGAAAGTGGGCTGAGTTCTGTGGGCCAGGTGCGATATCCTCGACTTCTTGCTGACTGGCAGATCGATGAACTCCAGGGGCTGGGAGCGTTTCTGAGGACAGAGAAGAACATTTTCTTTTTGGAGTCTGACAAGAAATCACTTCATCCTGGGCATTCAAGGCTCAGCTGCCACGAGGTGGCGCTGCCGTATCAACAACCGCACACGTCGCTGCAAAGGAAACACAAACACAGCGCCCTGGCCAGTCCTTTGCTAGCCCCCAGAGACCTTAGGCACAGGCCTGCCGTGCAACGAAGCCACTGATCTGCAACCGCTTTGAGTCACTGGAAGCACTTACCTCAGATGCTGCCTTTGCAATACACCTAGGTGGGAGCTGGGTAAAGGTAGCAGCACCTGCTCAGGAGCCAAGGATATCACTCCCAAATGAGGACAGCGTCCTGCTGCCTTTGGTTACCTGCTGAAGACTTGTAGCTCAGTCGCTTCCCCTTTAAACTGGCGATAAAGTTTAAAGGGGATGAGAAAATCCCTCCTTGCCTTGGAAATTAATGATGGGGGCAGCATTATCAGGCCAAACGCCGCACGTGCCAACAGCTCGAGTAAGAGAATGAATGCTGCTATGTGCAGGCTGCCATGATCTTAGCTCCCCTCGTGCCCGAGAGCAGGGAGAGGGCAGAGGCTCTGCCCTCGCCAGTTGAGACAGTGACAGAGGTGCTACTCTGGGAAAGGGCTCTGCTCTTTGGGGATAAAGCCACAGCTGATAGAGGTGGCAGCTGTGATCTCACCTGCATCTTCTACTTGGTGGCTGTTGGTGGGTTACAGGTCAGCAGTGGAGGGAGAGTTGGGTCAGAGCCAAAAGCTGCAAACCCTGAGCTGACTGCAAGTGGAGAGGCAGCCAGATTATCTGGGGAAGCCCTCGGCACTGCAGCGCCCACCCGCACAGCTGCACAAGTCTGAAGCAGGTTATTCACTACCCAGCGCAACACAAGGCATAGTTCCGACTGGTTTCTTTTGGATACTCCTTTCCTTGCCGTCTCAGACAGGACTGCTGTGTTTGCACATGGAATTTGATCCCCCACAGGAAAGCGAGTTTGGAACTGCGTTGCCAGTCTGGAGACGGACATCCTTTTTTCTTCCGTTACTCCTAAGGGGACATTGCCCGGTGACAGGAGGTCCCTCTTTCCAGACAGGCACCAGTCAGAAAGGCTGCGGAGAGGAAATGTTTACTCTGCCAAGTCCTGGCGGGGCAACAGCACTTCCTGACTGCTGTCAGTAACACAGGGAGCCAGCTCCCTGCTCCTTACCACAAGTGGCAGGACCTCTGGGTGGGAGAGGGCTGAGGAGAGGACAGGCAGCCCTGCTCTCAGCAAGCGCTGCATGCTTTGGGGCCTGCAAATCCTGATGGATGTAAAAAGCAGAACAAATGAAGAGCTGCTAGGTTCAACCTTACCTCAAGGCTGGCAGAGCCTTCCTCCCCTTACATGCCATGGGCCAAATACATGCACAGGCTTCTAAAAAAGTTCAGTATGAAACTAAAGCACAGGACAAGATGCTTCACTGCTCAGTGCAAAACGTGGCAGCCAAGAAATTGAGCCTCGGACAACCCACCCACAATCTCTGCTCTAGTCACTGGAAAAAGCCACTTCCTTAAGAGACACTACAGCTAAACCATGCACGGACCGGCACATGGCAGCAAGAGAAAAATAAAGGTGGGCTCTGGCTTGCCTACGAATCCCTCACTAGTCGCACTGGAACCATTCTGGGGTCTAAGTTACATATTTGCCTAGAGCATATTAGTACCCTGGAGAGTAGTACAAGCCACTGTCCACTGATAGGCTGCAATAAATCATTTATTATCCAACAGCCCTGTGCTCAGATGCTAGTCAGTCAGATTTTACTGGCCAATAACTCCTACATATTTCACTTCCTTTTCTTTCCTAACAGATGCAAAGCAAAAGACAGACCACTGGAGAATGCCAGGGTTTGTATTCAGATTCTTTAAAAAAAAAAAAAAAAAAAAAAATCCTGAGTGGAGTTTAATGCGTTAACAAGTAGAAGAACTTCAACATCCTCCCGCCTTGCTCAGTGAAAAGGATCACTCTCTAGGCACCAGGCAGGCATCCAAAGAGCAACAGGTGAGGACTGAGAGCTTGCTTCCTGGTGAACTCTGGGTTGCCTGGTTGATTCCTGGGCTTGATGGAGCACTGCTTCCCCTCCCAGAAAGCAGTTTGTTTCCTTACCTGCTAACAGTCACTGCTACTAATCTTCAGCACGGCTGTCCAGGCAAAGCAGGCCTTACATATTACACTAGCAGGACGAGGATAAATACCTAGCTTCCCTGGACTGCCCTGCAGGGTGCAGAGGTGGCATGCATTTCACTGCTCAACCAAAGCACTGAGGCCAGAACAGATCAGAGGCTAGATGAGGGATGCCCTAGAAGGTGAGCCTTTTGGTTGGTTTATCACCACAGAACACAGCTTATACCCGTCCAGACCACTAGTATAGGGATGGGATGCACCTGCTTTCTGAGGTAAAAGCAAGGAGGTGAGAGCTAAGCTAAGGTGCTCACCTCTTGAGCTACTAAAAGCCAGACCCTACTGATAGGGAAGAGGCCAGCTATGGAGAGCAGAGTCCTCCAGCTGATGCAAGAATACAGGTCAGCTCAGACTCCTTTTGCCACAGGGCTTCTACAGGCGAGAGGCTGACGTACTGGTAGCCAAGAGCTACTTCATGACGCAAAGTGCATTCAACAGCTGTCCAGGATTATGGGTAGGAAGGTTCCAGGAGATGCAGGCTCTGGAAACCTGGCAACAGGCTACGTGAGTAAACATGAAGGGGCCATATCCTCATCTCCAAGAAGCTGCCCAGATATGCAGCTTTCACAGCTCGGCACACCAGCAACACCCTGCTTTGATCACTGCAATCAGACTGCAGCAGCCTGAGGTCTGAACACCACCTTGTTCTGCTTGGGAGCTGCCCATTACTGCTCAGCTCCAAACAGCTATGGGTAATGAGTGGAGTAAGTACTCTCGTCTCACCAACTCCCAACAGAAGTCAGCCGAGAGTCAGAAGGCAGGTTGTGCACCCCCCCCGCCCGATGCTGAACAACTCGACCAGGGTCTAGAGCCAGTGCCCAGCTCAGTGCTAGATGCTAAGGTTCTCTCTCGCCCAGAGCCCGGCCTGCACGTACCGATCCCAGTGGTTTGCCACCCACCTGCGGTGGCGACGCAGAGTTCGTGTGGTCTTTTGGCGGACTAAGGGAAGAAGCATCCGCTGGAAGGCTGCTGCTGTTCTGGGGCTGACAGTGTTTCCTGAAAGACACAAGTTAAGAGGGGTTCAGATCTTGTGCACAAGACGCAAGCATGCCCCAGGGAGGCCTTGCCAACACCCCTCCAGCCAGGAGCAGCAGCTGCAAGTTGTACAAAGCAATCTGAGCCCGGAATAAGTTCCTGACCACTGGACCTCCAGTGGAGCTTCAGCACAAGTGTGGCTGCAGGCGTGCAGGGACGTGGCACTTTCAGCTTGACTCACTACAGCTCTTTGTACCCAACTGAGCAGGCACCAACAGCGCCTGTAGAAGGAAGACCTCCTCACCTGAGGCAAAGCTGTTACACTCACCCCAAGCCAGAAAAAAAAGTGGGGTGGGTGCACCAGGAGAACACGGCCTCTACACAGGGAAAAACGGTCAAGATGTATAAAACCTACATGCTAAATAGCAGCAGTGCCATCTCTTGCCCGCTTTCTCCCAGGAGGAGAAGAAAAAGCTCTGTGTGATGCCTGCAAGCATGGTCAGGTAGGGACACTTGCTGCTTTACCATCTGAGGTCAGCCTGGATTCCACGATGGGAAGAGGACATATTTGATGCTATTCTCTTAACTGTACATTTCTACCTGGCTTCCCCGGTGGCCAGACACAAGTAATGTCACAAGCGAGTGCTCTGCCTTACCCAACAGAAATCAATCTGTGAACAAGTTACGTAAAAAATATTCAGCACCTACAGGGTATTCAAGCTTGTGCTTAGAGGCCAAATCATCATCTGAAGAATTAGTTTCAGTTCAAATAGGTTATCAATGGTCCTCTACACTAAGGCAAAGTCCACCTTAAAGAAGCTATTCAGTAAAGCAGACACTCAGCAGGTCTCTGCTTGGAAGGTGGTGGGAGCAGGTGGGCAATGTATCATCTCCATCCAATCAGACTGCCTCTATGAGCTTTCCTGCGTACTGCTTAACACCATGCAGACTTATGGCTAGTACTAGCCTCCACCTCCCAGACAATCCCTTCCTGCAACAGAAACATCTTTACCAAAACCAAACCCAACACCTGCAGCTTGAGCACTGCGCTTTTGTTAACCTCCTCCACACGTCTCCAGGCTCTCTGGTTTCCATGAAGCTCTTCAGCTCCTGGAGTAAGTTTCAGGGAACATTAACTTTGCCCTGCTTTCCCAGTATGATCTGGAGAACCCATGTCTTAGTCACTCAGGAAATAAACTTGACTGTTGAATCGAGCTGCATTGTAGAGAAGTTAACCCTGAAGAGGCTTTTTAAAACATGGTTTTCAGGTACAGGTTCTGCAGCCCTCGTCTCATGGGTACACCAAGGTCTGATGCAGAAGCGAGGGCTCAACTCGATCGCAGCACAGTTAAATTATCTCTCTCCTTTCCTTAATGTTTACAAATTGGGAGGACTATTACAGAGGGAGCTGTTAAAACTCCAGAGAAACCTAACTTGAACCTCTGACCACACTTAAGCAACACTTTAGATATGGAAGCTCACTACTTAAGTCACGTTTGCTTCATTTTAAAGAGACTTTAATTTTAAAAAGCAATAATTTGAACCCAAACACAACCACATCTCAGATGTGAATGGATCATCTCAGTCATGTGACAGCTCCTTGTATAACTATGAAGGAAGTCCAGGACACCGTGTTGCTTGCTGCAAACTGTGCAACTTTCTCTGGAAGTCAGCTTCTCGCTGAGCAGCTCAATACATTTGATATCACTGTGCAAGCAAGTTAAGAGCAGCACCCCCACCCCGGGCTTCCCCAAAGTTTACCAAGGGGAAGAGCCGCAACAGAGTCCCCGTCAACACTCGGAAAAGAATCGACTATAAGGCATTGCCGACTTAAAGAAATTCCTGAGCCATCCAGAGTGGAGACCGAGCACGAAAACCAGAGAGTTGGACTGCTGCAAAAGGACATTAACAACTGGGATCAAGCAGCCCCAGAGGCGACCACGGCAGACTCTAAGGCCTTACATCTGGTGCCTGTGCCCTTTGTGAGTGTTTTTCTACCGGCTTCAACCCTACATGTTTTTTCCATTTTGTAGCCTCATTACCTGCATTGGCTGTGCGGGTCTTTGTTTGTACAGTTGAATACATCCTTTCCAGGGTTTATTTTTAGATCTCTGCATAACTGAATGCCACAGTTTGAGAAAAGGCAGTAAACACTGCTTTGACTAGGAAGAATCAACTTTTTTGAAAGCAAACTGTGGATAGTTGTAATTTTCCATTCAATTACAATTCAGCATCAGGGATGTTTAAATGAGTTACAACATACCCATTTGAGCTTTCCTAAGTATGCCAAAGAACATTTAGTGTTAGACTTTGTTAAACCAAAGTCTCATCTTCAAGCCAATTGTGCTTTCAAATCATGGAAACGGTTCCAACAAGAAGAGTTCTATTTTACGCTAGCCACATTCGCAATAAAATAAGCCTCCAAAGTCATCAAAGCCAACCTGGGTAACTAAAACAATAATTAAATACATGGAGAAGCCAGAAGCGGGGATGCAAGCACTAGAGCGGGGCAGGATCACAGGCTAGAGGTGGAAGGATGTCTTTTTAACTCCTGCCTGCAAGCAGCTCCAAGCCTGTAAGCTTTACCTAGGCAAAAACTCAAAGGCTCACAAAAGCAGATGGAAAAACAAAAGAGGTAGCAAAGATGGCTTCTAAAGGCTGCTATCAGATAGGGCCATGCCTACAGGTTGGAGACATCTATCCAGACTGACTCCTGGCAACTAAAACTAGACAGACAGACAGAGAGGCTACTTCTGCGAGGTGTGGGGTACTCTGTGAAGGGCTGCACTGCCTTGCTAGCTATAATCTTCACCCATACAGTTCATATCAAGACTGAACCTCATCCCCGTTAGCCTGAGGGTGACTCTGACACCTGTGTGTTGCTGTGCTGCAAGTCACACAAGAGATGCTGTTATCAGCACTAAATCTGTCAAAATGACGCTTGAGAAATCAGCGTTAAGACCACTGAAGCATCTGAACACAGACAAGGCCCAGGAAGAGAAAAACCAGGAGCTGCCCATTAGCGGGAGAGGAACATCTATCTGCAGAGTGGAAAACCGGCCACTGAGCAGCATGCTGAGGACGTGGCTGCTGAGCTGATGTGGGGAAACAAGGGTGGAATCTACTGGCACGTTGTGCAAGATCCAGTGGCCTAGATCATCAGCCTGTGCAGCTGACTCCATCGGGGCTACACCAACCGGTACCAGCTGCACTGGTTCAGCACGTACATGACACACAACTCAGGGACGCAGGCAGCAGGAAACAGCAGAGAGCGTGGGGGAATTTACCGAACAAGTATCCTCTTCAGTAGCTGCTGATCTCCTTCAGAGTAGCCAGGCCAGTCCTTCTGCACCTCTTTGTACATGCAGTCTTTCAATGTAAAAGTGCTGTCCTTGGCACTCAGATTTGCCACCTAAAATGGAAAAGTAATTTGCAGGACACATTAGGATTTGGTTCTCACAGTTTACAAGAAATCCAAGAAAGATTTAAGGAAAACTGCAGCTGATGTAGCACAAGGCACAGTAACAAGCGCCAGCAAGCACCATGTTGAATGCCGGCTTCTACACTCTTCACCAAAACGTGCCGTCCCTTTTTTACAAAAGTGGCAGGACAATAGTGGAATATTCACTTGCAAAGCACACATCAAATTATGGACATACAGGTGCAACACTGAGGTTCAAGTTGAATAGTCATTTGTCATTTTTAATGTCTAATCATTGACGCTAAACGCTCAGAGAAGCACTGGGAAGCAACCCTCCCCCCAGCAATAGGCAGACAATTTATCAAACTGCCTAAGATGATGCAGCCGATACCAAAGCTGTGAGGGTCCAAGCAGTTAAGTGCTGCCACATGACAGACAGTATCTGGCTGGCAGAGAAACAGAGTTAAAAATAAAGATGCAATATTCCTGCAAGGCAGTGGAGAGAACACTTTCCTAGTACTCTGCGAGCACCCCGATATGTCTGTATGGGGCACGGTTAAACACAGCAGAACCATCTGCTTGCTCCCATCAGAGAAGAAAGAAACCAGTTCATCTCCAATCAGGAAGATGGTGAAACAGAGCCTTGTACTCCTAAGCTCTACAAAGTGGCCCCTCATCCCGCCAAATGCAGCACATGGGCCTAGGAGGCTTTTTATCCATTTTGCCAAATCCTTCCACAGAGATTTCTTTCATTCAGAGGCAGTATTTGAGGCCTGACAGGAGACCCTGCTGGGACCAAGAGAAACAGGCCAGGATGGGAACAATTTAAAGCTGCTGACTGGCTTGGTCTTTCAATAATTTTAGACTGAAAATCAGGCTGAGAGTTGCAGTTGACAGCTCATCTGGAGGAAGGAAGGCTAATACAAAATGAGTAACTCCGTGTTGGGGGAACAAGCCTTTGGAAGGGAGCAGCAGCAGTTTGCAAAGCAACTGCACAGCATCACAGCCTCTTCACGTGCATTGCACACGTTTGCAGAATGGGAAACGGAGGTGCCAACACAAAGTGACTTGCCCGAGGTCACACTGGAAGCTGGCAGTGCTGGGACTGGGATATCAAATCTCACAGGCTCAGGCCCTGCTCTGTTGTCAACTGCACTTGAAATTGGAAGCAGCTCTCGTGTAGTCGGTGCACACTGTTCATCTGGCTGCAGCTTCACTGCTTACCCAGTGCTGCAACGGCTGTGTTTTAGGTGGTGTTTGTGCAATGCAAGACTCCCTGACAACAGTGTTTGGAAGTGTGCTATTATATCATCCATGCACGTTAAGTAAGGCACCCTCATAAAAACAGAAAGTAAAGGAGGAGCAGGAAATATACTATCTATCTAACAGGAAACACCATGTCACAATCTCATGTGCATTTGCTTCATCACTGCTGAATGTGGCCTAATGCTTTAAGTCACTGTTAATTTACAAGAAAAAGGGTTCTAGGCAGCTAAATGCTGCGAAGCATTCCAGATACGAGAGAGATAGAAGCAGGCGGTTATCAGCTTACAAGACCAACACTTTGTTTTTCCTTTTGGTTCTGTCACCAGTCCAAAACCCGAAGCCAGCCAAGATGAACTTCAGTTCTGTCGTGCATTTAAGCTACCCAGTAAACATACCCAATGTGAAAAATAAACCAGAGAATTTCAGCTTGATTAGGGCCCAAGTTTTTTGTCTTTCCTAATGCATCTTCAACGTGCCAGATGCTGTAAAGAAGGGCTTACAACAGAGGTAAAACAGCTTCTCAGGACTGTCTGAACAACTTTGCACTCCAGCCAGACCTAGGTACAAAGCAACTCTTGGGGCCTGGGCACTCCTCATCCTCCAAAGTGGTGTCTTCTCAGAAAATGAGACTGTTAGTCCAAAAAGCAGAAGTCTGGCCTGGAAATATGGACCACAAAGGAAGTGGCAGCTGGGCACACTTGGGCAAGGCAGGGAGCAGTTGCCATATGAGAAGACTAGAAAGGCTAGGATTCTTTAGTTTGGAAACGAGGAGGCTGAAGGAGGATATGATGGAGGTCTGTAACACCACGAAGGGTGTAGACCAAGTGAACAGGGAACTGTTGCTCACAAAGTCCCAGAAGACTAGACCTTGGGGACACCCACTGAAATGAGAAGACAGGTTTAAAACAAGAGAAAGTAGTTTTTCAATGCAATGCCTAGTTAACATGTGGAATTCATTGCCACAGGAGGTGGCAAAGGCAGAGAGCAGTGGCAGGTTCAGCAAGGGACTAGCCACATTGATGGATGACAGATCTACTAACAGCTGTTGAACAGAATATTTGGAGGCGTTTCCTCTGGCATCTCTAAACCGACAGTGGTGGTGCCAGGGAAGGTCGTGAATAGGGGACAGACCACTCCACTGAGTGCTCTCTCTCACTGTCACAGACAGGATACTGGGCTAGAGGGACCATGGGTCTGACCCAGTCTGGCTCTTCTTATGCAAGGCATTTCAACACAGCCAGTATTTGGTAGCTCATCTGCATTTGCAGGTGGTGCCGAGCAGGGGCAGTTTTAGAAGTAGTGTTTCCAAATAACCCAGCTACAGCATTCTCTCAGTCATGCTGATGGTGCTGTGACTAGAAGACAGCAATGTGGTAGAGGTTTGTGACTATTCATAACAGAGGATTTCCATGCTGAGCCTTCGCAGCAGTCAGAAATGCAGGCTTTCCTAGCACTGTTCTTAAAAAAAATTTAAAAAAAGGTTTAGTGGATTAATATCCAGGGCAGGAGCTGGTCACGCCAGAGTGATTAACCAATTTAGCTAACGATTCGTGGCGTGTCCCTGGGCAAGCTACTTCCCCTCTTTGCCTCAACCTGGTAATGCCAAGACACGAAGAGGTGCGCTGAAGGGTGGTGAATATGTGAGGTGCTTTGAACAGGTAAATGCAATGCAAGTCCTAAAGATATTTCCTGCAACTCTCCAAACGGTGCATTCACCAAGTGAAAACGCCAGGAGTTACTGAACTGATGCAACAGGAAGACAGCTTTGACGTCCATCACACAGGAACACACTTGGCAAGAAGCTGCCCGATCTTCACGGCTCAATGCTTAAATACAATTCCTTTATGATGACAGCACGACTCGAGAGCAGCCCAGGGACCCCAAGTGTGGAGGAAAGAGAGTTTTCCCCACTTTTTAATGGAAAATAGTGCATGTGCTTATTATATATGGTATATCTTTATGCATGTACTACAAGAAATAAAATGGAGACAGTTCACTGGTTACATCTATTCAAACTCAAAGGCTCTTCAGTGTTTACCACAAAGCCATAAAAGCAAAGTGTCACAGTTTGGGACTGAGTGTCTTAGTCACTCCAATGCAGTTTGAAGTGTGCAAGCAACAGGAACTACTTGTAAATCTGGCCTTATCTGGTGGACTGAATTAGTACAGATTAGTTACAAACACTTAAAATTGAAAATGCTGAGGGACTTCTGCTGTGTGCCTAGCAAATAACAGTGACTTATGCCTTATCTAGTCAGTCAGCTCCTACTGGGCATACCCATTAAAGAAAATTAAGCTACAGCTTATCAGCTGGATAGACTAAGTATGTGCTAATAGTAAAAGTCTGTCCACATAAATGACACCATATCTGTCTTTGCAAGTCAGGCAACTATCTAGGTAGGAGACAAACCTGCTGCAGGAAGCTGTCCAGCAAATCCTTGTCCTGCTGGGAAAGTCCATCCTTCTGCAATCTGAGAATAAGTTCAGGTTTCTTATAGGGCTTTAGTGCCAGTAAGTGCACAACCCTATCTCTGAAGGGTCTCTGGGAAATCGCACTATTGCCTCTCTTTATTGCACTGGCAAGGTTGATTGGTGTTGGGCGCTTCCTTGAGGGAACAGCATCAGAAGCTCCTGGTGCCGGTTTACGCACCTGAACCTTCTTGCCTAAAATGAGATGAAAACTCAGTGAACTGCAGGAGCCACCTTGGCAAATGCTGGACTTCACAACATGCATTTGGTACATAACAGCACAGAGCCCTGGCAGGCAGCAACGAAGGACAAACATACACCACCTAGGACAGATACTCTGCAAACTGGAAGAAGATTCAAGTCAGCCTTGGAGAAAGTAACAGGGAATTTAAAACCCCAGCACCCCATGCTGCAAACCTGGCTATTCTTGGCTCTGAGCCGCAGACTATACCTGGATCCTCTGCGTTTATCACAATTGTACGCATCTCTAGTCAGTGTAGCCAAATGTTTCCCGTGACAAGGAATGTGGAGAGAGCTGCAGCAGTGGCGAGAGCAAACTGGTCAACGGGAGGCTCCCTGGCTGCTGATCTCAGCTAAACCGCTTCTCCCGCAGATGTTTCTGCTTTTAGAACAATAGAAACTTTATGGGTCTGGCTCCCCCCTCCTCCCACCCAACAAATCTGAGGACAGGAATGGGGGCCAACACTAATACACTTGTCCATTCATCCACCAAAATGGCCATTTTAATGTAAGAGTTGTTTCTATTTTTAAGTAGTAATGGTTTCATCCTCTTCATGTGTGCGCGCACAGACTGGAGAATGGCTAAAAGGTTTTAAAAGGGTCAGTTCAAGTCCCTAAAGACAGCTTTCTCAATTCCATTTTAGGAGTTCTGCTTTTATTTATTTCCTTTTACTTATATGCAAATAGATTATTTGTTCCACCTACCACTTAACACCGGAACTTATCTTTTCACTGGAGGCCCCTTGGAAGTGATGTGGAAGCTACGCTGCATCACTTGCCAGAAGAACAAGCATTTCTCCTGTTAAACCCCCCCCACAAAACTGACTGTTCCTTTATCCAAATGAAGGGACAGCTTTCAATAAAGAGCCAGATTCCTGCACTAATCTGAATAGGCTCCCACGATACAGAATATGCCAAAGAGTAACACAGGTGGGGTAACCAAGACCCCCAAATCTTCATATATTCCTCAGAACAGCAATATATATTTTACATATCACCATTTTAGAAGCAGGCACAGCCATCTCACTCGAAAAACCCTCACCTTAAATTATACTGGCACAAGCAAATTCCAGGCATTTGCTGCCAGGATCTCCCTTCAGCTTAGCAGTACTCTGCTCCTTGGAAGCCGTATTTTCAACTGAGTCATCTAAAGAGACGCTGGTGCCTGTGCGCGCTGTTTGTTTATTCTACCAAAATGCTGGTTGCATAATTTTAAAGTCACCATTTCCTGGGATCCGATTACAAGTTTGATGCAAGTAAGTGAGGTTTTTTGATTTGTGATGTTGAGAGACGTCATGAGAACAGGCTTGTGAGGTTTCAGACTTTCCTTGTTTTTTGGCCAAGTCAGGAGCACCAAAAAGCACCCACTGTTTTTGTGGCATTTCATTTTATGGCTGGAACCAAGAGGTTTAGAGCTGCATACCCAGACTGCAAGTTAAATCAAAGCACCCAGAGGCTCAGAAAGGTACGTTCAAGGGTTAGGCTACTGTACCAAGCGGCACTGCTCATCACAAATTTTCATACTTAATGCTGAATGCCTTTCACTTCCCAGCTATTGCTGTTTGAGTGGTTACCACACATTACTACAACTACACATGTATGCAGAAGTGCCGCCTCCATTTTTTTAGCTAAGCATTAAGAAGCCTGTCTTCTCTCCAGCCAGAGTTGCATGCTGGTGGTTCCCGCAGGCCTGATGCACAGGGTATCTATGCCCCTGAGCTGGGGAGCACGACCACCGACCTGCCCTCCTCTGACCTGCACTTCCCCGTCTACAACACACACACCTGACAGGCTGCCATCATCTCACTGTGCCACCCCTTGCACAGCTGCACCTTCATTTTAAGTCAAGTGGAAAAGGTTTTGGTAGGAATGTTTGAGAATCAAAGCTTTATTCTCACTTGCTTTCTTGGAATCTGCTTTCTCACTGGCCCAATAACTTAAGCTGCTTACTGCAATGCTTTCAAATACTAAGAGCTAAACAAAACGATTCTCTACTGTACAGGAAATCAATGCATTTCCTTCCTGATTATGATCTTGCATCTCAGCTTCGAGCGCCTGGCTCGCAAAACAATGAGTCGGGCAATTCTACGTTCTGCAACTCACCATTCTCTTCGCAGACATCCTCCGAGGAGTCGAGGCACTGGAGCATATGAACCATGAGAAAAGCCAGCTGCCCCATGCCAAGGCCTGTTTCTACATCACCCCAGTTCTACCAGATTTTGACAATGGACACATCCGCAAGGATACGAGGCCCTGGCAAGCACCTCCAAGCCTCAGCATGGAGCCAAACATGGGCCCTGCATTGTTTTGTTCCCCAGTTAAGCTTCTGCCCTCAGTTTTCAGGACAGAATGGTTCCTTCAGGGGCTGCAGGAGGTATCAAGAGCTTAATCCCTTTGACTGAACCTGAACACATCTTCCCATGGCATTTCATGGTTCTCCTATAACAGCACATGTGTGCCCAGGCGCTGGAAGAGCACTCATGGTTCACACTTGTATGCCTGGGTTTGCTAGCCAGCAGCCTGCCAAGAAACACTGGTGAAGCAGTGCAGCAATTTGCTCCCAGGGTCACTGAACAACAGAAATAAGGCATGGGCTATAAAAATGCTCAGCGAGCAAACTGCATAGTCGTCTGCTGCCACACAGGAGCAACAGGACTCCCAGTATCTGGTGGGGTAACCCTTCTACATTCAGCATCTTTGCCTTTGAAAAGTCACTACCAGTAAACTAGCGTGAAGGTACCAGAGCCGCATACACCACCACCTGCTGCTGCTGAACAGGAAAGGACTTGAGGAGATACAGGCATTTGCTTTCACACCACTTGCAGCCAGGAACAGACAACACACCGACATCCCATCTGCAGGCAAAAACCAAGTGCGGCACTTTTAATCAAGGTGCTTCTTACCCATGTATCGCCCTCCAGGTTTAATGACTATTGCGCTTCGGCTGCGAGTTTCCTCCTCAGCTTGTGCCATGCTCTCCTTTGCCTTCTGGTAGGAGTCATCAGTAGCGCACACAGTGATTTTATCCTGTATGCTTCCAAGACAGTCCAGCTGGATATTCCCACTGCTGCAAAAGAAGTGTGATACCAGATGCTATCAAGACTGAAAACAGACACACTTTTGTTGTCTTGTGTGTGGTATCGAGTACCTGAAGCAGCTGTGCAGATACAAACACTTTTGTCCAGTAAATAAATTGATATATTCCATAGAACTACATGAACACCAGCAGATTCTCCGCACATGCAGAGAAGTTCGACAATGTGAGCTGTTGAGTGTGCATTTCCCTCAGCCAGGTGGTAAAGAAATAATTGCACTCACATGGCTCCACTACCCACCTGAGCAGCTCGGAATACCTAACGAACAGCAAGACTAATATTCCTGGAAGGTATTAACTCCATTTTCTGTGCTGAAAGTGAGGTTTAGAGAGGTTCAGTGACCTAAGCATGCTCTCTCAGAAAGGCTGCAGCAGATCTGGGAACAAGCCCAGCTTTCTGAGCACCATGTCCCAAGTGCCCTACCCATGAGACCATCCTTCTGCACTTGGCATTTCAGCAAAATATATTCAAGGGCAAACTTGCTTCTCTACGAACTAATGAGCAAAAGCTGAGTTACTGGTGTAGCCGAGGGGAGTGACAAAACAAAGTTCACTGCCACTATCTTGGAGGTTTTTAAGGCCCGGCTCAAAGCCCTGGCTGGGGTGATGTAGTTGGGGCTGGTCCTGCTGTGAGCAGGGGGTTGGACTAGATGTGACCCCCTGAGCTCCCTTCCACCCTCCTTTTCTATGATTCTATCCTTATTTGCAAGTGTTTGAATTCTTTCCAGCTACTTTTTCCTGCTTCTTCCTATCACTTGGCAATACCAATAAAAGTCTCTCTCTCTCTCTAGCATTTTAATGTTACAAATCTGGTGGGAAGCAACAGGGAGGGAAGAGGATGCTGTATCCCAGATGTTTAGAGATACTTGGATCTTGCAAGAGTCGTCTGTCAGTCAGACTTGCTATTTACTCATTGCTCGGTGCCTAGCCCCATTTCCAAGACATCTGTCTGCAAAGGTTTGTTCCCAACTGTGCACCCGCCTGTCCTGAAGGCAGAGCCCTCCTTCATCCACATTGCTCTGGGTGCAGGAGCAAGTTATTACTCCTCTCAGCCTTTTTAAACTGCTTTTAGTCTGGATGTGCCCCAAAAGGGGATGGGGCTGGCTCTGGTCAAGTGTTCTCAAAGAGAATTTCAACAGATGGGCCCCAGACACGAGACTGCTCAACAGTAGGCTGTCGCCCATAGCAGCCACCAGGATTTTTACAGCCGACTTCAGTGGAGCAGAGACAGGGCATCCCTGGGGGTCCTGTAAATTCCACCTGAAAGTTTGTAGCGAAACTGTTTAAACCAGATTGTACGGCTGCCCATGCTTGCAGCAGAACTGTGAGAGTGATACGGCTCGAGGGTTCACACAGGGAGGATCACAGGCAGTGGCTTCTGAAACAAAGTTGGGGGCAGCTATAACGATTATTCAGTGGGCACGTATGTTTTTGGGACTACTGATTCATGTCAAGTGGGATCAGGAACGGCTGGCTTTGTCTAAAGCTCCCGCACTGCTGCCGCCGGCTTCCTGTGACGGCAGCAAAACAGAAGAATTAACTTGACTAATGATCACCAGCATTGTAGCAGCCATGTTGCTGGTCAGTGTGGTGGTTAAAACACAGCCAGCCAGCCTGTGCTAGCACCTCCACCGACGCTGCGGCTGGAACAGCAGTGACTGCAGAAAGCTTCAAGGAAAGGAGTCCACGGACACAGGCTGTAGAGTAACAAAAAAGCTTCCAGGATATGAAGTTGGGTATGACCTAAACATACCAACCATGACAGCCAGAGAGACAATGCTGGGCATGCAGAGAGGTTCTTCTGTGGATGTTTCCTCATATGCCCACTTGATCTCCCCAAGTAAAGGCAAATATCATTTAGGACATACTTACACTTCCCTTTACTCCTATGAGGACTAAAGACTTCATTTTAATGACAGGCTTGCAGGCGGGACAAGGTAAAAGGAGACAGCTCCCTCCTCACTTGGGGTAGTACTCACCTGGATACATACTGCTGGATACAGTCAAAGCTCCCCTGGGGGCTGTCCTTGCCAATATTTGAAAGGTAAAAGGTAAATGTTCGCACTTCTGTTGGGCAGTCAGGTCTAGGAATCGTGATGTGCTGTTTGGAAGAAAAGTACTAGTTAGCTGGATTGTGCACGGCCATACACTTCTTTCGTTAGCCACTCTGCAAGCCACTAAGCACGAACAAACCCTGGGAACTGCTGCAGAGGAAGCTAGAATCATTCCAACCAAGAGGAGCACTTTGACAGCATCTTCATGTACTCAGCTGCTGCTTCTCTGAATTCCCTTTTCCAACTACCTATTTTCTTCAGCTCTGCAGTACTAGGAAAAGATTAAGTCTTACCTTGGTCACAAGAGGCTTAGGAACATAGGCATATGTGCGTGTGTGCGCGCGTGTGTTTGCTACACATACAGTAGGGTTCAGTGAGAAGGACAAAAGCATTATGAAATTTGCTGGCAAATGAAATCTAAAGTAGCAGTTGGCTCTTTAAATTCTGGTTTACCACAGTGAGCAGCAATATAAACACGTTAAAGGAAGGTATTTCGAGAGAGACGCTTCCTGAAGATCCTACCCTGTCAGCACATCTGCGCTAGAAAATGTTGCCAACACGGCTGTGCTGGTAAAAGCCCCAACGCAGCAGCAATTCTGAATCAATGTCACTGCATCGAATACTTCGAGAGGGTACGCCGGATAGCATTTTGCTTGGTGCTAGCCCTTACACCTGGCAGAATGGTGTCTGAACTAGAAGCAGGAGGGCCTGCAGATGTTGAGCAGAGTGGCACATCTGGACCTCTGCCCCTCTCGGGAGGCTGCACACTGGGCACTGCCATTCAGCTCATCAGGTCCTGCTTTTTGGAGAGTGCATGAGAGGCATGGGCTCCCTGCACCTCATCGCTGAAACTCGGCTTCTGAGCAGCCAACAGTGCAAGGCACACAGGGTGGGAAGGGAAACCAGGGGGACATGGCTCTGTTTCCAGTGACGAAGGCACTCCCCGAGAGGACAGTCCTGCTTCTAGGACCATTTGTGCACTTTATGTTAGACAGTTACTGGCTAAGAAGCAGAAGTAACCCCATGAGCAAGAAACGGGAAGGTCTGGCAAGCCCGAGCATGCAAAAAAGAGCCAGGCCTTTTGCTTTCCTTCCTGTTCTGGGAGCTTTAGGCTGTGCTTTGGTTGTATTTGCACACTTTGCATCTGTGGAAAACTAAAGGCATTTAAGGGGAAAAAAAAGTCACTTTATTTTAGGAGCTGGGAATCAAGCAAAATTAAGTATACGTAAAAAGTGGCAAAACAATTCAACTGCAAGCCCAAGTGGCTTGGCCCTTGAGAGATATCCTCGCCCTAAACAATACTGCCCACTTCTCAGAGGACAGAGAAAACCAGGAAGACTGAACAAACACCTGCAAAGCCACATGCCCACAGAAGTGAAAGACAGACAAAGGAAACAGGAGCGAGGAGAGTCAATAGGTCAAAAAGAAAGCTGCACCTGTGCCAGAGCATGAGTACGAGGCAATGCCCACCTGCCCGTCACAAGCAGAGGGGACTTTCAGAACAGGGAGAGCAGTGCTGGTCAGCTGCCCACCCACACGCTCCCTCCCGCTCAAAGCGGGCGTGCTGGTATCCCGCGTAGGTTGAACTGAAAGCATTCAGGCCAGGTTTCTTTAAGAGTCGTGAGCCAGCACCACACATGGTGCAATGCAAGTCACTGGGCATCATGACTGTTCTCTTTTAAGAGGTTATAATTCCCTAATGAGATTTCAGAGCTCACGTTGGAGCGTGACCCTGCTGCTATACGAAATATTTAAATCACACATTAAGCATCCTTTGCAGACAGCTGTATGCACATCTCCAGTACTAGCCTCTTTCTGCTCATTTCCTCACTGGTAAGAGTCATAGGTTAGTCCCACTTTCCTAGCACATTCATTTTTAAATAAAGTGCTGCTTGGCCCTTTCTTGTGGCTGTTCAGGACCCAACATGGATTGGGCCTCTGGGCCCTTCCCCCAGGTATGAGTGCTGGATCAAAGAGGGAAGCCACAGAGGAATGAATGGACTCTCCATCCTTGGAGGTTTTGAAGACCCGGCTGGACAAGGCCTTGGCTGGGGTGATCTAGTTGCTTGGAGCAGGGGGGTGGACTAAATGTGACCTCCTGAGCTCCCTTCAACCCTCATTTCCCCCGATTCTTTGAATAAGTATGGCTGTCAAAGTGAGCTACTGTTCCAGCCCGTATCACCACACGTGCACACAACACATACATTTCACATCTATCCCATGCCCAACTGCCGGCTATTTATGGCACATAGTGCTCTATTTGATAATGGCTCTAAGACTTTCCTGGTAGAAGAGGCCAAAAGAAAGGGACTCTGAAGTCTTCCAACAGCCTAGGAAGGTAATTAGAAGTAAGGCACAATATGCATGAAGGTCAATTTTCAGAACAGGCAAGAAATGCTTTAGGGAGGAGGGTTTGACCACGCAAGTGCAGCATTCTCCATGCAATCCTCCCCAGGTATGGGTAAATGCGTCTGTCCCTCATTCCTAAAACTGGGTTTCCTCATTTCACAATAGCAGGTAAACTGGAAACTCGACTTCACACACGCAAAACAGCTGAGCTACCAAGTCAGAGAGTTGGCACCTGGCTTCAAATGCACTGGTTCTCGTGTGGACGTGTTCCAACTATCAGTAGGACAACAGATCAACTCTTGCACGCCAGCGTCTGTACTGGGAGCCTTGGGCTTCTAGCTCATCTCCATTTGCCCATCTGTAAAACAGGTATAATTCTGACCTACTCTACAAATGAGCTGAGAATATTTAAAAATGCAATCTGCAAACGAAGGGCTCAGGATTAGTCCTTTCTACAGTTTGTTCCCTCTTTCTATATGACTAACTCACTACTATCAATGCTAGGTGAATGGGCGAACAAGCATCTTCATAGAAAAGACCTATCAGATCACTCTGTCCAAGCACAATTGCTCCTTATATAGCACATTTCCAAAACACTAGGACCAGAACACAAATTAAACAACCTAATGCAACTTCTTACACTGGACTCCTGGAGTGCCAGGTTTGGGCACTTTTGTAGAATCTCGGTGACCGTTACAAAGTCGGCTTCCTCAAGGGACACGCTGAGACAGACGTGACAAAGTCTGCAATGAATAGTGATGTTAAGATCTGCCTCTTTCAGTACTGAAAAGCATCCTAGGCAAATCGACAGCATCTAGGAATTATTTTTAGATAAGGCAGAAAGCCTCTGACCACCCAGCGGTAAGGGCTTTAACGCAGCCCCCTTGCTGGTGTCCCGTAAGTGCCATGCCACATAACCACTAAATGGCTATTTTTGAGCATCACAGATGTGACTTTTGTTCTCTATTATAAGCAATCGTTCGAAACACACTACATAGATGACCAGGAGTTTCAGCTTCACACACTTGTGCCAATGCAAGCCCATGCCAAGAAGTGGGGAAACAATGGCACGTTTCCAGTGAAACTTCTGCTCACGCTTTTGTCAGATATGACGCTTTGATGCAACTTAAGGAAACTTCAGGTTTTAAATTATCTGAACTAGTTTCTTAACCCTGTTTCTCTACCCTGGCTGGTCTTCCTCATTAGCACCTGCAAATCTGACCCAGCTGAACGCCTTCCTGAAACAGAAAGGGCTCGAGCCATTCTGGCTCACTTCGGCTTGCATCACCTGCTCCATTTCAAAAACTAAACTATTGAAATATTTGAATATTAACTGTCGCCCCACATATTAGTATGGACATGATGACAAAGTCAGCCACAAGACGGTGACGTGACTCCTTGCTGGGAAAGTTGGTCACAAAATGGTGCTCGTTTGACGGGGCACATCCCACAAACCAAGGATCATGTATAGTTTGTGATGAAAAGAAATCAGGCCTCTCAAGGCTTTTGACTCCAAATGTAACCCACCTGAAGAGGGATCCTACGTGGAAGATCTCACCTTCTGGGGTGTTTTCACACTTTAGGGTAAAAAGTTGGACAGCCTCCTTTGCATTACCCAGCCAGGGGAGAGCCGCTGACTGTCATGTTTTGCTCTCAACCTGAACTCAGTTTCTGATGTCTCGTGATCTGTCTCCTAACATTAGGAATTTTAAATAAGCAATCATGAAGAGGAAAGGTATTTTCAGGCAATTAATGAAGAGCTGGAAGATAGGTAGCTATATGCACCTCAGACCAAGGAGAATGTGTACACAATCCTTTTTTAAATGGGTAATGCAGATTCAGCTGTTATGGAGAGCATTTCTGAAGTGTTAACACCACACGGAGAAAGCAGGCGTTTTAAACCTATTTTTCACCCTTCTCTTCTACCCCCCGATATTCCAAATAACCCAAAGATTTTTTCTCTTTGCAGAAGCGGTGCATGCAAGGAAAAAAACACCTTTTCAAACCATGCACTGCTAAACACTTCTTTAACCGGCACTCTGTGAATACAATCCCAGATGCAGAACTTTCTGACCCTCCAAAGTGACATCAAAATCATTTCCATAGCAACGTGCACTGCAAGGTGACAAAAGGCAGCATGCGAGGGGATTAAGGTAGAGTGGAAAAAACAAGCAAGTCCATTCCAAAAATAAACAGGGGCTCAACAAAAGGAGTCCAGCCTGATCATCTGGATTTGGAAGCTCCTGAAATGATTGAATTTAGCTCTTATCTGTTCCATTTACATTCGAGGACACTCACCAGAAAGTGTTTAAAGCCAAGCTGCTAATTCCTTAAAGCGAGGCTCTATCTTGACATATATACTACACTTAAAAGCAGATGGTTACACAGCTGCCAGCGTCTTGTCCTACTCCATAAAAATAATAAAAAGGACAAAGAGCTCTTTCTGTCTGCCCCAACTGAAACTGGTTCTCGCTCCCTTCAAAGCTCTACCTTTGGCCTTTACTTGGCAGTGCAATTAATTAAACAGCTGACAACGAGGCAAGCAGAGGTCAGCTCTGTCCTGCCAACAGCCCCTCTTTCCACCCACAATGCCTCGGCACACTTCATACTGTGCAGGTCTCAATGTTTCACTCTTTAAATGGCAATGTCAGATATAATCACACTGCTTAACTCCCTTTTCATTCAACCCAGACTATAATTACATGCGACTGACAGCTCTTTCCATTTGAAAGCCCTTCTTGGGAAGCACTGAGTTATGGGATGAAAATAATAAAACACTGTTTTCTTAAAATATGTTCTAATTACCCACATTGTTTCAAAAAGGGTTTTTTGTTCCACGCAGCCCCTACACACCCTTAGTCCAAGAACGCTGGCCCCGGGTTGAGCGCAGCATCACATCAACCTCAACCTTGCCAAGTACAGGGATGCACTGGCTCAGAGCTGTTTTCAAGTCACCGAGATGAATTTTGTCACTGTTAAACCTGCTTCCGTGAAGGCGAAGATCAAGAGAGGGAACCAAAAGGGAAATTTCTTCTAAGACTCACTTTGACATAGATTTAGCAGCAGTTACACAGAGATCCTTAAAAGCCAAACTGAGAGGGGGTAAGGGAACGGTGGTGTCCCTTGCTGAAAGGGGTGGTTAGTCCCAGCTATCAAGGTTGCCTGATGCTTCATGTCAAAGCCCTGCTTTCAGCTGCTTAGACCTCCACCGAGCTTTGTTTCAGCTGACTTTGTCTGCCAGGTGTCTCGGGCTGAATTTGTTTATAGTGATGTTCTGCCAAAAACCAAAGAGAGACGGAGCATTGCTCTTTCCCACTCATTTCCCAGAACCAAAACGTGCTTGCATTTTGCCTTTTAAACTGATGACAACTTGTGTTAGTCTTCCCTGCTTTACTGGACTGCAGAGTTGGCAGGATTGAGATATTACAGGTCTCTGAAGGGTTGGCAGACAGGAAGAGAAGCTAGGAGACCTTTTGTAAAGACATGCATCTCATGCAGGCATTAGTTATGGTTAGGGTGGGTCTGTATGACCTGAGCAGGGAGCAGGAGGAAGGGAGCTCTGTGGGTGCCACCTGCTGAATCAGGAGCAGCAGCAGCACCTTGTTCATGCAGCCCTGCCCCTGGGTTAATTAGCTCTGCTGGGAAGGCCAGGTAATTATGCAAGGCACTGCCTTGCGCCGCGCAGACCTAACTCTTGGCATGTTTACTCTGCAACCACAGAAGGGCCAGAAACATAGGATTTACTGCAGACAGTGCAGCAAAACCCCACCTCTTTGGCACAGGTTTGAGTCCGTAGCAAACTGCAGAGCCACACAACTGCAGAGCACAGGGGCCAGGAAGAGCTGAACATAATTCTCATTTCATTTTTAACGAGATAACAGGTCTCTAGGCAGAAACGCTTCCCTTTCAGAGGAAGGCCAGTTTTGTTCTGTTTTACTTTACTGCCAGTACAGGGTGGTCTGGGTAAGAAACCCTGCTCATTAAGCTACTGCCTGGAGACTGCCGCAAATAACTAGAAACCAGAGTACAAATCCAATCCACTTCTACTAGAAACTGCTTTTCTGGAGAAGGGGCTCATCTAGTCCATTCCTCAAAGAGTGGCTTCAGAATAAAGCACAAAAATCCTGCAGACATCTTGTTCTGGATTAAGCTGTCCCCAGGTGGAAAGTTTTCCTCTTGAAACTCAATTGTTAGGGGTGGATTATTCTCTGTCAAACTCAGCATTTGGTCCAACCACTTACTTTGATCCCTAAACATGGGCTCAGCAGGAGGTATTTCAGCTTGAAAAATGTTGATTTTTTTTTAACCGAGTTGTGCCCTCACTTGAACAACCACAATAAAGACAATGGGATCGCATACGCCAAAATGAAGTTTGCTCTGTAGAAAGCACACAACTTGTTTCATACACCAGTGCTACTGAAAGCTGAGCAAACTTGAACTGGAGCCACTGTACATTCCCTTACTGTGTCTTGATGTCAGACTAGAAATGACTTCTTAAAAGAGAATTATTTAAACCAAAAACAAAGGTAAGGAGTTAAGGCAGCTAACTCATTTAATAAATCTCATTCCCATGCATCTCATTGCTTTCAGAAGGCTGAATTTCGAGGCAAGCAATAGTTCATAGCAAAGAAGTACATCAAAGACCAGGCAGGAGGTTTAAAACTGAATTCTTCTTTTTGCACTTAAAAGCCCCAAAGTTAACACACACCTTTTCATATTTAAAGATCTACAAATGGCAGTTGCAAAATGGATTGGAAGCGCCGAGTTACTTTAATAGAGATAACAGCAATTAAGCCTCTACGCTGTCAGTAACCGGGAAGACAGTTTAATGCTTCTATAAATATCTTTGATGAATGCAGCATTAAGAACAGAACTTATAAAGGAACCAAGACTCCCGAATAGAAGAACTTGGTGGTATACTTGGGGTTGGGACAAAAGAACAATGTACAGCGAGCTGGAAGGGGCAGGGACTTACTGTACTAACCCACTGTCTAAAAGCACTTGCCCTGAGGTGAACGCGCAAGCTAACCCAAGGCAGCTTACACCTCAGTGAAATGGGTCTAAAGCTGCCTCACTTCAGCTTTTATTTACCACAGGGTAAGCACGTTCAGACAGCTACCGTGGAGCAGCCCAGGTGCAGCAAGTCCAACTCCCCGCTCCGTGTTCATCTGTCCGTGCCTGACGGGAATACGTCAAACCAAAACTCTTGGACACTTCATTCAATCTACCAGCACTGTCCATGTTATTTTGAATATTAATTATTCTTCACACCAGGGCATAGACAAGTCCAATCAACTGAACCTCAATTTTCAGTAACTTCTACTTCCCAGGACTGAGTCTTGCAGCACTCAGCACATTAACTGCACTGAAAACTGTGAATCTGAACCAGACAGCTCCTGGTTGTCCTTGCAATCTGCACTGACATCTTGAAAACTGCCTTTGATCCTGCCTTAGTGCTTGACTAGATGATATATAGGTCCCAGCCAACCCCTTTTTCCCGAAGATCCTAAGGATCACTGCATACTCTTAACACATACCAGTGTCAATTTAATTTTTTGGTTTTCCTACTCCACTTGGGAACATGGCCATATACACAGCAGTTAGCAATCCCACTGATAGCAATGTTTTCCCTGGACCAAGTTTGGAACAGAGATTTCTTCAATGCTTGCAAGGAGACGGATCACCATTAAAGGTAGAATCCGACCCATGCCCAGGGGACAAGCTCACTGAGGTTAACTGTCCCAAACTGTACATAGATTTACACCCACTGGAAAGCCTTCTAAAGTAACCGATATCAAAAACACAAAAACAAAACTTACCCCTTGGCTCCCTTGGAACTGAATTGATGGTTTCAAGGCCACAGCATTCTACAAAACAAGAAAAAACAGCATTAGACACCACCAAAGTATGCACTACAAATAATTCAATACGAGGCATAGAGAATATGCTTTTAAAAGGGAAGAACTGCATAATTCATAGTACTGTAGTTGATTTTAAGTAGAAAACTGTAGAGGGGATCTGCCCTTGCAGGAGGGGGAAAACACACATAGAATCAGACCACTAGTTTCTCATGCCTTCAAAAGTGGTCAATAGCAAAAAAGTAATAGCCCAAGTTCTTCATCCATGCTACAGAGGGAGACAAAAGAAAAAACAAAGGCACACAGTCCTAGCCAGCCAACTTCAACAAACCACACAAGGAATTCCTTCCTGATCCTTGTGCTCATTAACTTATACCCTGAAGCACGTCAGAGTCGCAAAATCTTGTGGTTTACATTTGCAGTGGTTATGTAGTTATTAGTTAAAAGAAATTAAGAGGTGCTAAAGGGAAAAACTTATCAAAGCATTTGCACAACTTGAAATTTGAACAAATGACTGTTTCACCTGTGTGCAATCAGCATTTCAAAACTGCCAGCAGAGTTAGGTTATTTGATAGCCTGCTCTCTGCATGTCCTCTCATAACATTTCATAGAATAGCATGATGAACAAGCTGTTGCTCACAAAAGCTTATCCATTTAATCCAGTTAGTCTGTAAGGTGCACCTCTACCCTTCCTTCCAGTTATCCAGCACAGCTCGGCTGGCCACCCCCTTCCGATAGAGAGTCTGTTATTCAAGAGAGTTGCTGTAGCTCTGGCAGCAGAAAAGCTCCTGCCTAGAGACCAACATTCACACCCAGGGCCCCACCTGCCTTACCTTTGCCACTATAGTTAGGCGACAGCCACTTCCCTGGTACAGGTGTGGCCTAACTCTTCAAGGGGTACTGCTTTGGCAGGCTGCTGTAAACACTATTCCAAACCAAGGAGGCAATTGCTCCAACTGTCCACTTTGAGAAGCAGATGCACATGGCAAATTTCTGGGCACCTTCTGGAAAGGAGGTGCCCAGAAGGGAGGCAAATTTCCTTCCTTCTGGAGGGAGAGGAATAAGTGAGGAGCAACAAAAGTCACTAGATATCCTCATCAAGGTTCGTATGAAGGTGCTGATATAATTCAATTTGTATGAAGAGTGTATGTAATTCTGGACTGAGTCTTTTCACTTCCCAAACCATAAAAATTTGTCAGGCTCTTTTTTAAAATAGCCCAGTAACCCAGTGCACACGTTACAGGCAGGACAGAGTACATGGCTAGTGAAAGCAAGCTCTTTGAGTAAAAAACTTTGCAAATATTTAAGGATGTGTCATTGCAAAATAAATGAGCTTCTCTTTTCATGTGAAAGCAATTTTCAGAGGGAACGTCCAAGGGAAGATGCTCTGGAGGGAGATGCACGTACTAATGCAAGTCAGTGACTTTTCTGCACTAAGTGCACACAATAAGGAAAAGCTTCTTGTGCTGCTTGAACATGTCCTGATCTCCTGGCACCGCAGACAAGCCCATTTTTCATTAAGAAACCTCAACAGTAAAGCGTGCGGGTGCAGCGGGTGCCGAGCAGTGAAACAGTTAAGAGCTTGGACGTCCATGAGGCAGAGTTTCCCCAGTCAATCCCGCAGGCCCCGTCCAATTGCTTTCAGCTCAGGAGTCTCAAGAGTAAGCCATAACATGCTGATGTCAAACTCTTGCTAATAGAGGAAAAGGTTTTTTACTATCAACAAACAAGCTACAAGCAAGTTGAAGCCTGCTGGATTTTCCACTGCACATCCAATACATTTTAAGAGATTCAAATTACTTCCCAAACTGTTACCGAGCCACAGGAGTTTAGGGACAGTGGGATGATGAGTGGTCTCAGATTGGGGGCAGAACTCACTCCTGCTTTGCAGGGTACCGTCTGCAGATAGGAAATAACCTCTACAATAAAACGATCAACAACGTTTCTCTCTTCCTACCAAGATCACTAAATTCCTTGAGCGCCACGACACCACATACCACAGCACTCTGTTCATAGGCAGACGGGCCAGCTTTCGTTCACGGCGTCAGCATGTACTGTACAGTGTGTGTCCATAAAGCCATATGAATGTAATTTAGAGGACAATGATTTTGAAGGCATTCAGAAGCATACTGCCTAAGTGTCTCTTGCATCTAATTTTAGCTTGAAGAAGCTTCTGCAATTAAACCAGGAAGATTACTGAAGTGGAATAAAAAGGCATAACGATGTACAGAAATACTGTTATGCAAAATATGACAAATTTGTAATCACGCAAGTCATTTTATAAAAATTCACCTAACAATCAACATTCACTTCCAAACCAGTGCAGCTGGAAGGACTATTTATGCAGGATTCAAACGAGTGAGTCATCAGGTGAATTCACTTACAGACATCAGCTCGTCTTCTCCATTGGGGGCTTGGCCCCTCTTGTACCCAAGTCACCTTTTCTTGCGCTCTCCCACAGCCGTGCACCACACTCAGCGCACAACATCGCTGACCTCCGGGAAACTTTGGGGGTCCTGGCTGCTGCCGTACCATTTAAATGAACTATTTTGTCATACTGAGGGTGGGGGAGGCAGGGATCTGTAAGTAGAATAAGCTTCTCTCTTGTGGTGAAAGAAAACTGGCCGTTAGGAGTCACCTACCTGCCCATTCCTGCCCTCCCCATGTCCCGCAGGTGGTATCATCTTCTTTCTGCAGGTAATGACTTCCCTTAGACGAGGTCTACACAGGGACACTCCAGAAAATTAAGCCAAATTAACTAAAAGTGAGTTGGCCAAACATCCCCATATGGGTCCACACACATTCAGTTTTTTAAGATGTCATAGCTGAGAGCTGAATTAAGGCCCTTTTTGATTCCAGAAAAATCAGACAATCTGAGGTTTCATACGATTTAACTACTTCAGGCAATTCAGAGGTTTCATCTGATTTAGCTAATTTGCCTTGAATTCACAACTGCTAATTTGGATCAACCCCTGTACTATTTTGGGGGGGGGTTTCTTACCAATTCCCATTGCCATCTCCAAAACTTTGGCATCTTCTGAAAAGTCTTCCAGCTCTCCTCCCCCACTGATGCCCGAACAGTTGAACCTTGATGCTGAGTATGCTGGAAACCCCCATGCTACCCGCCACTGGTGGAAAGCATGGTGCTCTTTCCTGTTTCTTCATTTCCTTCTCAAGAATTCAAAGTTGCACTCTCTGTCTTCAGAAAGACTGTCAGCAACACTGCATTTAGCAAGCCAGCTTTCCCACAGCACAGCTTCGAAGCGGTCGTGTCATCTCGTACGAGTGAGAATTTCTTAGGGACCAGTTTTGCCCACATACTTAACGTTGAGACAAATTAAAAGGCAGGGCTGGTGGAGGGCAAGTTGTCTAAACACTGTAAACCCTAATATAGAGCAACTAGGCTGAGCAGACAGGACACCTGCAGAGCCTGATCTGTCTGAGCTGACATCCTACGCCTATGGTTTCCCCATGAGACAAAAATTAATTGGCAGAAACAAGTGTCTAAAAGCTGACCCTGAAGATGGACTGACTAGAGGCAAGCCCACAGTACTTTGAGCAGTTGGGCTAGTGCTCCAGCGCCGGCCACCTCAAATTTAACAGATCTATAGTCCCAGGCTGCATGGAAGACCACACAACAGAAGTGCCTCATTAGCTGCTTTCCCGTCAGCACACATATTAGTATCTCAATGGTCCCAAGATTGCTGGAAGGAGGAGATTCAAGCCCAAACCAAGTTCTAGTCCCAGTGAGACGCAGATGAAACACACGAAGCTCAGATAATTGAAGCTTGCTATGTACTGTTCAGAAACTGCATCACTTACTGCAGGGATCTCTCACCCATCAGGCTGGTTGAGTGGCACAGAGCCAGCGAGCAGGCTGGACAGGACCCACGGACTGGCCCCGAGTACTGTGCAGGACTGGCCCTGTGCACGGCACGCAGCACATGGGCTAGTCTGGGGCATGCGGGTCCAGTCCAAGCCCCATGGGCAGCATTGTAGGCCAGATGATAGGGCTCGTGCGCCATATCTGACACCCTTGACTTACTGCTTTCCAAACACAGGAGAGCTGGCAAGACCTCGCTACACATGCACACATGTAAACGCCCTGCAAGTACTACAGGTTACTGCTGGCTCCTTTCTGCTCCCTATTATTTCCATTTTGAGGCAGCTGAAACCACAAGCTCTAATTATTTGTTTCAAAAGTCATCAAGGTTTCAGAAACCACAAGCTCTAATTATTTGTTTCAAAATTCCTCAAGGTTTCCCAGCCACAGAATTGGATGAAGACTGGCATGTTGAGCCTCCTCTTATCTAATAGAAGGAGAAGAGAAAATAGCAGAGATGGTTTTGTGCTGCAACAGAACCGGATTGTTCTCTCCGTCCTGACACACACCTCCCGTGAAGCCCAGCCAAGAATGTGACAGCAGAAAGGTTATAATTTCAGTAGATTTAGTCCTCTGAGATCTAGGCATCAGCATAGACAAGCATCTGGCACCAACAGGGACCTGTATCGTGTTGCAATAAAAGCACATGCTTTAGCCTTGGTACATATCGTCATAATTGAGAGAGATGTCCAAGGAGCCCCACTGATGCACTTGTGTAGAATAAGAAAAGGCATTCGTGTATTCCAGGCAGGAAATAAGATCCTCCCGACCAAAACCGGCTCGCAGGCTTCACACCTCTTTCAGTTCTCTATTTAAATCGCCCAGCGTCCGGGTAGCCTAGCTTTGGAGCTGGCTAGTCAACTTGCAGAATTCAAAGCAGCTTCAGTTTCCAGAACAGAGCTGGAGGTAATACAGAGCGACGAGGAACCCAACACGAAAGCTTTGCACTGAGGGGGCCATGCTGCAGACCAGAGATCAAATTTTACAAAGCAAGACGCTCTTAAATGTCTGTACATTATGGCTGCAACTCCCTATGGTTACCAATCCCATAAGCCTGGGTACAAAGATGCCTTGAGGTGTGAGCTGCCCATTCACCTGAAAAGACTGTTCAATACCGAGGCCTCATGATGGGTGCTAGATTGAATGCGAATGTGTGATCGCATAGCAAGCAGGACTCTGCGAACTGGTAACCACAGAGCAGAGAGAGCAGCGTAGGACGAGCATCACAGACTGCTCTTGTCCCCAAGCACACCTATGTCAACAGCAACTTCACTTCTCCGGTATCTGGTGTGTGCATATCAGCAAAGCTGCCGCTAGCCAAGGCCAGCCTGCTGCCAAAGGTGGACCGTGCTCCCTATTTTATAGCCCAAAACCACTTTTTCTAAAGGCCATCCACAATAGCCCAAAACCAAGCATCACCTCAAAGATGTCCCATGATGGTTTTAGACGACGAGACCCCAAAGCAATTCAGTCCAGTGCCTTCAGGATATTTAGAGACTTTAGGCCCTTACACTGCAGGCACATTTTCCAGTTTCTCTGTACGGCTTGAGGAGCTAGAAGCTCACGTAATTCCCCGACTCCTAGAGCTCGGCCTCTGAGAAACCAACTATTTGGAGCCAGCAGCACTGCATTCGGTTCTTTCCAGAAGCAGTCCAATGATTCACCTCAAGAAATACAGATGAGCTGCATACAGAAGCAGGGTGCAAAGGCAAAAAAGGAAATGCTAAAAGAAGTTCCCAGCTGCTTTCTTGCAGGCAGACCCAGTAGTAGTGCGATGGGATGAGGTGGAGGGAAGCAGGGAGGGGAAGGAGCATCATTTAAGTATGGCTACAAAACCGGATACCGAAGAGTAAAACGTTTTATTGCAGGTCGCTGGCCGGCACAGAATAAGCACAAGAGCAGATAACTAGAATACGAGCATGCTATATTTAGTACTTATACATGGTGGCTTAAAATAATTTTGTACATACAGAACTGCAAAGACGACAGGACAAAAAAAAAACTGTTTAAGTTGCGGCTCTAGAAATCCGTTCCTTATATTTAAAGAAACAACTGTTCTGCTAGGTAGAGATCAAGGAAAGCTGGCATATAATGTTTTCAAAACCTGAACAAGTGTTTCCATGCAGAGCCCGAAGGTGGATTTCACAGTCCGTTTGGATTAACATTTCCATAGCAAGCAGATCCACGTAATGGGAACAGGGAGAGAAGAGAAAAGATGTAGACATCTGTGAAATCCACAGGTCTTCAGCTACCGGACAACCACCCCCTTCATTTTCCAGTAAAATAAAAGATATTTTAAAAGTGTTTCAGGAACCCACTGATTTCCCAGAAACTCCACTGGAAGACAGTTATTTGCAGAACATGTTTGCCTGTACTTTATATTGGCACATGCTCCAGTTTTAGGAACAAAACAAAACAAAAACAAAACAAAAACTGGAAATTCAGGGCAAACTGCAGTAAATGAGAGCCTCTGCTTCATGAGGTTGGGCTAAAGTTATTTTCAGAGACTCAACACTTAAGCATTGATTTAAAATTTGGTAGTAAGAAGAATTCCAATAAATGTCTTGAGAGACTATAAATACCATGCAAAGCCCAAGATCAGCACTTCACCAGACATAATTCCAGTTGTCACGCAAATCAGGCCATCTGCACCCCTAGCAGCACAAAATTATTCCAGCTCAGAAGCCAATTAGCACGGAGCAAGGAAGCAGTTTAATCTTGAAATTCAAGTGACCTCGGCCCCTCCCACATCCCCGACGTCCACCCTTGAGCTTCGCGACATGTCGTTTCTTTTCCTTTTGCCCACTTCACGGGAGGTGAACTCTGTTCCCTCCCCACGTCACCACATGCTGCTGAAGGGCCTTTACTCAGACTAAGCTCAAAAAAAGGTTAATCAAAAAAAGCCCCAAAACAAGATAATGAATTTAGACCTCCATTCCCCAAAGGTGACTAGTAACTGGGGGCATAGCTTGGACGATCTTTATCCCACCTGTCGCACGGCAGGTGCAATCACACTTTCTTTTACACGCTCAGGAGCCCTAGTTACACTCGGGCATTTAGCAATACCACTTGATTCTTAGAAGGGAACCGATGAGATCAAACAGTCTAATGAAAATGCGTAGCATGTTGCCCAAATCAGTTGCAGATCCTTATCCTCTCTTGTCTGGAGACTGGGATAAAACAGAGATATGCTGGGACATGAAAGGTCCTGAAAGCAACTAGCATATGCACATTTGATACCTGTTGAGTGAGCCAGGTAATAATTCTCTACTTAGAATATAGGTCAGGCTCGAACTTGCTTCATGCAGCAACGTGCAAGTTTTCTCCAGCCCTGAGCTGGGAGCTACGCACCTTCCAGTCCAGGTCAGAAACCATTCCCTCCTTACGGAGCTCATGGTTTTGTTTCAAGCAAGGCATCAAAAAAAGGGTAAGTGATGCTAACAAAAGCTGGGGATGAAGAACAGGCTCGATGAGATCACACAACTGCTCAGCGAAGGCTTGTGCCCACTGTACCTATGGGGAGCCTCGCTGAAGTCTCAAGTAGAGCAACTTTATTATTCAATTTTCTATTTATAGCTTTGTTTGCATGAAGCATCTCTCACCATTCATACCAGAGAGTACAACTACACACAGTAAAAACAGAGCAAAAAATATCCAAAGTCTTGTTGCCAGGAATCACAAGAGAGCTAGAGCTCAGAGTCCCAAAGTTCATTAGAGATCTAGCAGCAAAGCACACAAATCCCCCTGGAAACACCTTCATGGAGCATGCCCCCAAGACCTTCCAGCAGTGGGGAGAAAAGCCTCATGCTCACCTGTAGTCGCTCTCTCAAAAGAGCTGGTGTAGGCCAGAGACGCCTATTGCACGGCGTGCCGAATATCGATGGCAAACGGGCGCCATCCCACAGACACAGGAAGCACATGAAACGTGCCCGCTTGCTACCTGCTCCAAGTAGAGTTCCCATTCAACTGCTCTAGAAAACAAGACTTCTTTACCTTACCACTTTTGCATTCCTTTGAAGCTATTGCAAGAACATACCCTGCCATGCGTGAATGAAAGCATTTCTCACATTAGAAGTTCATTCGAAGCATTTCACGGGATTAACTGCATCTCCACAGGTTGTTTTGAAGAGCACTTACGCATCTATTCACAGAGAAAAATCTAGGCC